GTGAGGGGCCCTAGGTTCAGGCAGCCGGGAGTCCCAGGCTGCCATCCGGCAGCTCCATCCACTCCCTGGGCTTGGAGTCCAGCAAGGCCTGTGCAGGGCCTGAGCCTCCCTCGCTTGGCCAGCACCCCGACGGCATTGTGTCTGGTGTGGGAGGCTCAGCCCGCTTCTCACTGACCACCCCCAGAAGAGTTGTGTGTATATTGAATTTAAACAAATCATACTTTGCAGCTCACATTTTCTCAGGGAACTTACTTTTTTCTCCCTTGAAAGAAATTAGAGATAATACTGTTTTAAAGAATAGAATCTTCCTGCCGTGTGAACTGTTATTCTTGTGTTTATCTGTTTTCTCACTCAGGATTCTGTGTGATGCTTTCTCTGTTTTCACGCCGGGTACCTGTTTCAGAAGGTTAGCAGTCATTGGCTCCCACTCCCGCTCTCTACACGCGCTCTGTAAACATTTTCCTTGAGAGAGGTGGCGTCTTCCGACCACTGATTGGCCTCCCTCCTGCCCTCCTCTTCCATCCTTCTTCGCTCTTTGCTTTTTTAATCTTATCCTGACCTGAATCCTCTAAACGTCCAGCCTGGAGGCATTCCACAGAGAACTGAAACTAACACGGCTGAATCAACACCTGACTTGAGCCCCCAGCCAGCCTCCTGGTTTCTAGTGCTCCCGATATGGAGCAGAGGGCCTGGTTCACCCACAGCCTGCATCCTCTCACGCGCGTTTGCTGAACCTCCCGTGTGTCTGGCGGTGCTCTTGGCCTTGGAAACAGAAGAAAACATAAGACACGGCCCTAGTCTCAAGGAGTGGATGGTCTGAAAGAGAGGGAGGGGCGGACCTTGGCGGAGAAGAATGGCCCGCTCCGCACTAAGGTGACTGACTGCAGAGAGTGTGGCTGAGCCCCGGGCTGGGCCGTCTGGGACCCCGGGGGCAGAGAGCTGCCCTGGGTCTTGCGTGGGTACCAGCTGGCTGGTTTCTCAGGCTGTGGAGGTTGAGGCAGCTTTGCGGAGACTGGAGTGAGGTGCCTGGGCCCTCACGTGGCTCAGGATGGAGGGGAGATGGGGGGAGGCAGCTGTGCAAGCAGGCAGGTCAGGTTCGGGATGCGGGCCTGTGTGCCAGCCGGTCTGCGTCTTCCCGAGTCTCTGAGGCTCCAAATCCCTTTCTGGCCCTAAAATCTCGGCCTCCTCCAGGCAGTGAGACACAGCACATCTGCGCTGGCTCTCCCTGGGACGAGCCCTCAGTGGTGTTCACCGGGGGTAGTGATGGGGACGGGCACACCCATCCTCACGAGCGTGTCTCTTTGGACAGCGCGGTGGGGGTGGAGCTCAGTCTCAAATTCCATTCAGACCGCCCACTGCTCTTCTGAAGTTGCTGTGTTCTGGGCCCGGGAAACTCTGATTTTAATCTCAAGGCTGAACTTACATATTTCCCAGCAGACTCTCCAGGAAAGAAGAGGATCCTGGCGGCGGTGTCTGATGGTGGCAGCGGTTCTGGTTCTCATGTGTAAGGCTATAGCCCTGGCACTGTCTCAGGTGTGCGGCTGGGGAACGCATGCGAATCTTTGGCAAATTCCTCTGTGGACAGAATTCTGAAATGATTCTCTGGGTAAAGCATTTCTGTGCATGTGAGGATCTAAGCTTGTTGGAGAGCAAAACGAGATGGGTCTAAGCTCCCCGAGGTCTGAGGACTCTGATGGGTGGCTTGCCCTCCCCAGCTCCTTCGTTAGCTTGTGCAGTGGGGTCGCCTGCATGGAGCTCTGGGCCAGTGACACTGCAACTCGGCCTGACGGAGCCTCACCTACCCCGTGTGTCCCCTCTGTGAGGGGGGTCGCCACCTTCCCTAGCTCAGGGCACCCACCAGCCTACCAACACCCTACACGGGGCTGCTGTAAGCAGGGAAACCACCAAGAAAAAGCATGAAAATCGGAGAAACGTGGCCCTGGATGGACCCTGACGGGACATGTGTTTCCAGGCTAAGAGGTGGAGGCTGGTGCCACCTGCTTGCTGTTGGTGGGACGGGCACTTGGCACGTCTGGCGCATCTGTGAAGTCCCAGGAGGCCCTGGGCATTGACTTGAGGAGACAACATGCTTCAGAGGGTGGGCAAATCTGCAAGACCAGAACCCACGAATCATGAGGATGGGTGCTATCTGATTCTGTTCAGGAAGCTCCTGACAAGGAGGAGAAGCCAAATATTCCTGTCTTCCAAGGGAAACCGAAGCAGGCTTCTCGACGAATTCAGAGCAAGGATGAACAGAAGGCCGCCGAGGGGGCTCGCCCAAGGGCGCTCACGTCAGCAGTTTTGTAATAGCGAGGGTTTCCAGCCCCTGCACCATCGTGATGTAGCCACTTGCTCTGTGTCAGCTGCCATGAGCCGGGGGAGCGGGTCGGGGGGGAGGAGGCACATAGAAGCAGAAATGCTTGTTTGTTTTGGACCTTCCCCGACCTTGCCGGCCATTTAGTGATGTTCTTTTTTGTTGCTTTGGCTCATTAAAAACATGATCCTTTCTCAAATCTGCACTTCGTTGACTCTGAACGTTCAGTATGATTGTCAACTGTTACTTTGCCGATGGGAACAGGAAAGAAAAGACGGTGCTTGCAGGTCTGTGGCTGCTACTGATGGCATGTATTTGTTTAGATGTGAGTTCCAGAGGCAGGTGTGGACCACAGCGGGCTCGCTTTTAGCTGACTTATGTCCCTGTTAAAGACACAGTGGATTTTCCTGTTAATTTGTTATTATTTTTTATTATTGGCATTAGCATTAATCTCCCAGAAAATGGATATGAAGTAGGAAAAGCATCCTGGCCTCCCTGGCGGGACCTTCTTCTGCAGGGTCTGCATCCGCGGCTTGAATGGAAGCGCTTCCTCTCGGCCGGCATTCAGTCAGGGCTTGTCTCCCGTGTCGCTGGGCTGTGGCGTAACTCTAATACTGACCTTAACCGAAGTCCTTTGTTTTCTAGCCTAACAGCCCGAAGCATTAAAAATGCGTGTTTACTTAATTTGTCCTGGCATGCAGTGTAATTACAAGCAGTTTGTTTTCTCTGTTGTAAAATATGGTCTGGAGAAGGAATAAAGTAATGTGGAAAATTAACATTGTGATGTACTGTATCGCGGAGCAACACTAAAAATGCCTGCCAGTGCTCGTGCTGGAGGTGCTATTTGTGTCGTGTGCAAGAGCAATAAAGAATTAAATGCCTCTTTCTCAACTATATTTGCATGATTTTCAACTGCAGTAAAATTAATCTGATCTGCCTCTGAGAATAAACACCACCATGACAACAAAACCAAAGATCCCCCAGAGTCGGCGGAGTGCTCACAGCTTTGAGTTCTACCTCGGCGTTTGTTCTATGGATGAATTTCAGGGACACCATCCTTGGCTGAGTCCCAAAGGTGACAGACACACCATGGGTGTCCCCAGGGACTCCGCAGGTGTGTCTCTTGGGCCCAGGTGGAGGGGGCCCTGGACAGAGGGTAGCACTGCCAGCCGCCCCGGCCTCCATCCCACCCGCCCCTGGAGGTCTCAGTCCTGTGCAGACGTTCCTGGTCCTCTCTGTGAAGGACACTGTATAAATAATAAATTGTACGGTATCATTTATCAAGCTTCAAGTGCTCACAGAAAGAAACACAATAAGCCTCTGACAATAAAGGTAACAAATTCCTCAATTTGCCCAGGGGCAAGTTAGGACAGCGTCTGTCTGGGCGGCGCTTCCCTCAGCGGCTTCCTCCCCGGCTCTGCGGGATGTTTTCAGACAAGCTGCTGGAGCAGACCCCCCTGGGCCACTTCTGAGCTTCCGTCTGCTCTCTGCTGGGTGACCTGCCCGAAACCCGCCTCACCTGTCGCAAGGGACTTTAGACCGTTGTTGCCGCTCACTCAGTCGTGTCCAGCTCTTTGCGACCCAGGGACTGCATCACACCAGGCTTCCTGTCCTTCCCCATCTTTTCCAGAGTTTGTCCAAATTCACGTCCACTGAGTCAGTGATGCCACCCAACATCTCATCCTCTGTCGTCCCCTTCTCCTCCTGCCTTCAGTCTTTCCCAGCTTCAGGGTCTGTTCCAAAGAGTCGACTCTTCTCATCAGATGGCCAATGTGTTGAAACTTCGGCTTCAGCATCAGTCCTTCCGATGACTATTCAGGGTTGATTTCCTTCAGGATGGACTGGTTTGATCTCCTTGCTGTCTGAGGGACTCTGGGCTTGCTGTAAACACAGCCCCTCAGGGACATTTGAGGCCTTTGTGTTTGTCTTTGTGGTGAAGCCACAGTGTCGGGGCCCTGAAGGGTCTCGAAAGCGTGGGCGGGTCTGTGCAGAGGGTCCCCAGGTGGGAGACCTACGACCCTGAAGGGGCCTTCTGTGTCTCAGGAGAGGTGCCTCAGAGCCTGGGCTGTGGACAGAACCTGGATTACCCAGCGGACCCCCTCCTCGCCCCGAAGCCTGGCCCACAGCTCCCCTGAGAGGCTGGGTGATGACAAGGGTCAGGGCCCTAATAACAGTTAAGGAGCGAGAATGCTCCTGGCCTTGCCAGCCAGTGGTGGGAAAGTCGTTAGACAAGGTCAGGCTCTGCAAACATCTCAGGACTAATTCCTCCTGTAATTCATGACCTTTGGGAATGGAATCAATAGCGTTAGAAAACGCGCATCCACCAGACGGCCCTTCCTGGCGAGCAGGAGCGTCTTGTCTTGGCGATGTTTGTGTTCTGTCTGCTCAGAGCGGTGATGCTGATGGCGGTGACCTCGGCCCCTGCCCCACCCCCGCCTGGGCCGTGCGGGCAGCTCTGTCTACTGTCAGTTCCCCCGTGTCCACTTCCTCCGAGAAGGGACGTGTAGGGGCTGCCTGAGAGCCAGCTGCTGCCCCCAGGGACCCAGGATGGGGATACTCAGGCTCCCCTACCAGGTTGCAGAAGAGGCCTTACACTTCATCCCAAGTTCCCTGCAGAGAGGGTAGTCAGAGAGAAAGGGAGGCAGGGGGAGGCGGTGGGCATCCTGCTGTGTCTTTTCCACCCAAGGACCTTGCAGGAGACGTGGGAGAACGCACTGGGCTGGTTTCTCCCCAACCTCGCTCCTCCCGAGTGTGGACTGCACTCCATTTTGGAGTCACTGCTGGTGTGTCTGTTGATCTCATGCATGACCGACCCCCTCCTGCAGCGGTACGTGGAAGGCTCCCTGGTTTGGGGAGGCACACACCTCCTGGGACTCTGGACACGCAGCAAACAGGTGACAGTGGCCCGGAAATCGTGTGGTTGGGGTGGAGCCCGTGTCGGGATGGGGGTGCTCGGCGTCGGCTGTGGGGGCTTTGCTGAGCAGTCTCTCCGTGGGGCCTGGGGCCTTCTGTCCGCTCCCGCCTCCCCCAGGCTGCACGCTGGGCCTGCCTTCAGACTCCGACCTTCCAGGTCCAGCTTTTGGCTCCAGCTTGTTCTGCATTTGGCGCTGGGCGTGGGTCCTGCCCGCTGGTGCCGAGGCTCCGCTTAATGTAGCTCCGTCTGTGCTTGGCGGGGCTGCTGACTCTGGTGGCGGGGGGCAGCTGGGAAGAGAAAGGGGGCTAGCGGCCCCACTGCTGCCGGAAGGCCACAGTGTAGATGCCTCCATGGAGTCTGGAAGCGGGTGTCCTGGACGGTCACTGGAGAGGCGCGGGGCATGAGGAGAGCGCGCAGGGTCAGCACCCCAGCACCTGTCTGGAACCCCGGCTCCCCATGAGCGCGGCCCCCCAGTGGCCATTCCTGGCTCAGATGTCAGGACACACCTGCCTCCTGACCTCGGGCGTGCGCGGGTGTGGAAAAGCTCTTTGGGCCTAAGGGCTTCGGATGTGGATTCACAGGGCCCCTGACGCACCCGTGCCCACAGGCCTGGGGCGTCTCCTGGGGCAGGGAGATGGGTTGGTTCAGCCAGGGCTGTCCTGCGTCCGTGAGAAGGTCGAGCGCCCCTGGGTTTCCTGCGCCTCATCCCTGCCCGGCCTGGGCTTCCTAGGCACCTCCGACACGCCCTCCCTGCAGCCTTCCCACTGACCCACGGTGTACCTGGGGCCGGCTCTGGGCCTCCCGCTCAGCCTCCTTGGCCCCTGTCACTTTCTAACTGCTGGGATGACTTTGCCTGCTGCTCTGGTCTGTCTGCGAGAACATTCGCGATGTGCTTGTGCACTTTCCATGTGCCCAGAACCTGTAGACTGAATGAACAGGTCCTCTGACTTTTCAGGGGAAGTGGTTGCGGTGGGATTACCTTCACAAACTGATGTACTGCAAAAATACGCCAGTGTAAAGTGTGAGTGTGTTTTTTATTTTCACTTTTCCATAGAACTTCCAGGGGAACCTCCATCAGACTGTAAACATCAGGCAGCATTTGAGGGAGAAGCTGGGCCCGGAACCTGCCCAGGCCGGAACCGCTGCCTATAGAATACTGAGAGAGGGCTTCAGCTCAGCCGTAATGTGGAAACACCTGCAATTGAAGGAGGAACCACTGGTTACGTCCCATCTTATACTCATATAAATGTTTCGGGATTCTCCCTTCTGCCACCTATGGTGTTAAAGTCTGGAAGACCGGCAGCCTCTTTTTAACATCCTCAGTGGACAGTGAGGGACTGGCTTCGTGGAGGCGGTTTTCCTTTAGGGGACAGACTTATAGGCGTTTTGCTCTGAGAATGTCATTTTCCATTTTTCTGTTTCCTTCTGCTGCTTGCTCTCTTCTCACTGTGTCTGTGGAGACGCAGCTGTGATGCCCGTCCTCAGGGCCCCTGGCCATCGGGTCCAGCTGCTGGCTGGGGGTGGGGGGCTAGGGTTGCCATCGGCTTTCTTCTGGGTGGAGTCTGGGTCATCTGGAAACGGTGTTCCTGAGTGTGGATCCGAGGGTCACTGACCCCCTTCAGGCGGTTGTCACAACGTGGGACCACGGCCAGGACTCCATCGGCTGTCCCCCTTGAGGTCAGCGTTGTGGGAGGTCGCAAGTGGTCAGGCTTGCTGGAAACGTGCTTGCGAGGGCCCGGGGGCGTGGGGGCCTTAGGGACGCTCTCCGTCCCCTCCTGCTGTCTGTCTGTCCAGCCTTCTTCACGTCATAAGCACCACACTTTTTGTCCTCTGGCCCTGTTTTGGAAGGGACGTTTTGCCCCTTCTTGATGGTTTAAAAAGGCACTTTCTTTTCCCCAGTGCTTCCAAATTGGCCACTGTGTGCTTTTGGGCCATGCTTCCCTGCCTCCCCTTGTTAAACCGAGACTCCAGCTGGCATTTGCAGTCTGTGGAGTAAGTGTGAGGGATGCACAGACTGATGGATCTTGCCTGTGACAGTAATCAGTGAGGTGTCATAATAGTGACTTTCCATTTCTCTCGTCTCTTCTATGTTTATTTATTAGATATTTTCCCCTCAAGGACGTGTCCCTCCTTCCTCCTGTTAGTGTGTTCTGACTTATTTGATCCCATGGTGGGTTTAGGACGCTTCAGGCTGGTCCTAGTATGTATCAACATGGTTCTTGTATAAAGCATGGCTGGAAATGTCTGTTGGAATTAAATTTTGTTACTGGGATTCATCCAGGAACTATTCATATGTCTGGTGTAATTTTATTTTCTATTCAAGTTCATAACATTTTTCTCATGCCCTTCTTTGTACCTTTGGTATTGAATAATGAATAATGAGTGTTCACTTAAAAATATGATTATTTTAAGATTTTTGTACACTTAGAACACTATCTTATGATTCAAAAGCCAAGTATTGATGTAAATGACATGAGTTGAGGGGACTACAGAGGATGAGATGGTTGGATGGCATCACTAACTCGATGGATATGAGTCTGAACAAGCTCTGGAAGTTGGTGATGGACAGGGAGGCCTGGGATGCTGCAGTTCATGGGGTTGCAAAGGGTTGGACAGAACTGAGTGACTGAACTGAACTGATGTAAATTCTTTGAGATAATTATATAGAGTGTCATTATAAGTTCATATATTTAAATAGGGACATGGTAAAATGGTTGGATGGCATCACTGACTAATGGACGTGAGTTGGAGCAAATCTCTGGAGATAGTGAAGGACAGGGAAGACTGGTGTGCTGCAAGCCATAGAGTTGCAGAGAGTCGGACACGACTTAGTGACTGAACAACAACAACAAAAACTCATAGGACATAGGAAGCTAAAAAGTCATCAATGGAATTGCCTAATTTAGAAATGATGGGGAAAGTAGACACTCTTGGAGAAAACATCTTTACAGGCACCATATATCCTTACCCTTCAGTCTTTCTAAAGAAATGACACATGGATATTAAAGAATATTTTTGCAAGATTGGGTGAGTTGGATGTGTTCTCATGCACATAAGTATTTTACTGCCCTTTAGCAGCTGGTCTTAGCCAAGAAAGTGAGATATTTCCCGCTAAGCTTTAAATCAGCTGTTTTATAGAGCACAGAGAATTTTTTATTATAACATAATTCTGTACATAAAATATCACATTAGAAGAAGAAGAAGATAAAGTTCTGTACTTTCATTCTCCATTTATTTGACTGAAAACAATTGCAAGGGAATCTAACCAATCAGAGTCCTTGTCGTGAAGCCAAGAGGATTCAAGCTCAGGTAGGAGGATGGAGGGGGATCTCCAGGGACCAGACCCCGCGTCTTCAGGGGTGGGGGGGGTGGAGCGAGTCTCCAGGGACCAGACCCCGCGTCTTCAGGGGTGGGGGGGTGGAGCGAGTCTCCAGGGAGCAGACCCCGCGTCTTCAGGGGTGGGGGGGTGGAGCGAGTCTCCAGGGAGCAGACCCCGCGTCTTCAGGGGTGGGGGGGTGGAGCGAGTCTCCAGGGAGCAGACCCCGCGTCTTCAGGGGTGGGGGGGTGGAGCGAGTCTCCAGGGAGCAGACCCCGCGTCTTCAGGGGTGGGGGGGTGGAGCGAGTCTTCAGGGACCAGACCCCGCGTCTTCAGGGGTGGGGGGGTGGAGCGAGTCTCCAGGGAGCAGACCCCGCGTCTTCAGGGGTGGGGGGGTGGAGCGAGTCTCCAGGGAGCAGACCCCGCGTCTTCAGGGGTGGGGGGGTGGAGCGAGTCTCCAGGGAGCAGACCCCGCGTCTTCAGGGGTGGGGGGGTGGAGCGAGTCTTCAGGGACCAGACCCCGCGTCTTCAGGGGTGGGGGGGTGGAGCGAGTCTCCAGGGAGCAGACCCCGCGTCTTCAGGGGTGGGGGGGTGGAGCGAGTCTCCAGGGAGCAGACCCCGCGTCTTCAGGGGTGGGGGGGTGGAGCGAGTCTCCAGGGAGCAGACCCCGCGTCTTCAGGGGTGGGGGGGTGGAGCGAGTCTTCAGGGAGCAGACCCCGCGTCTTCAGGGGTGGGGGGGTGGAGCGAGTCTCCAGGGAGCAGACCCCGCGTCTTCAGGGGTGGGGGGGTGGAGCGAGTCTCCAGGGAGCAGACCCCGCGTCTTCAGGGGTGGGGGGGTGGAGCGAGTCTCCAGGGAGCAGACCCCGCGTCTTCAGGGGTGGGGGGGTGGAGCGAGTCTTCAGGGACCAGACCTTGCGTCTTCAGGGGTGGGGGGGTGGAGCGAGTCTCCAGGGAGCAGACCCCGCGTCTTCAGGGGTGGGGGGGGTGGAGCGAGTCTCCAGGGAGCAGACCCCGCGTCTTCAGGGGTGGGGGGGGTGGAGCGAGTCTTCAGGGACCAGACCCCGCGTCTTCAGGGGTGGGGGGGTGGAGCGAGTCTCCAGGGACCAGACCCCGCGTCTTCAGGGGTGGGGGGGTGGAGCGAGTCTTCAGGGAGTAGACCCCGCGTCTTCAGGGGTGGGGGGGTGGAGCGAGTCTCCAGGGAGCAGACCCCGCGTCTTCAGGGGTGGGGGGGGTGGAGCGAGTCTTCAGGGAGCAGACCCCGCGTCTTCAGGGGTGGGGGGGGTGGAGCGAGTCTCCAGGGAGCAGACCCCGCGTCTTCAGGGGTGGGGGGGTGGAGCGAGTCTTCAGGGACCAGACCTTGCGTCTTCAGGGGTGGGGGGGTGGAGCGAGTCTCCAGGGAGCAGACCCCGCGTCTTCAGGGGTGGGGGGGGTGGAGCGAGTCTCCAGGGAGCAGACCCCGCGTCTTCAGGGGTGGGGGGGGTGGAGCGAGTCTTCAGGGACCAGACCCCGCGTCTTCAGGGGTGGGGGGGTGGAGCGAGTCTCCAGGGACCAGACCCCGCGTCTTCAGGGGTGGGGGGGTGGAGCGAGTCTTCAGGGA